GTAGAACACTTATAATGCAATATATATATATATATATAATATATATATATATATTTGACCACTGTTGTTACTGCTCTGCGCTACGGATGATGCTGCCACAGCGACTGCTGCAGTTATGATATATAACTCTTGATATCTTTATATATATTTTATTATATATAATAATGTAGTATAATATATAAAATATAAGGTATGACGACGGCCTCTCACCGTCCAGTGCCTTGTAGAATTTCTCCAGGTCTTTGATGGCCATCTCGGTCGTACTGGCGGCGATGGAGTCCTCGCGGTACCGTGCCGTCAGCGTCGGGCGATACTGATCGCTCGAGAGATCGCTCGCGAAGCTGCCGATCTGATCCTCAAAGCCAGCCTCGGCCCTGCGTCGAGTGTTTCTGCAACGCACGGGTCGGTGTCAACCAGGTGATTTATGTCCCATGTTTAACTAATGTTATAATATTTTATATCACAACTAACTGTGAAAGTAGCAAAATAGGATAAATAATAATAGGATATATATATATCATGAGTACATATAGGAGATTATGTACCTCTATACATATGTAATCTCCTATTATGTACTCTTTGATATAATATATAAATATATACAAGTATGTATGTAACACATACGCACATACGCACGCACGCACGACGCACGCACGCGCACAGCACGCACCACCACACCACGCACGCACGGCACGGCACGCGCACACACCCATGCACACACCATCACCGCCACCTGCCTACTCCATCCTTAGTTTCTCCCCGTTTCTGCCTGCAGCCTCCGGATGGGACCAGCAGAGAAGCTCTGTCCGGTCGAGCTCCCCTATCTGCTTCTCCAGCTTCCTCCGTGCGTCCACCTTCTCCTTCTCCTCCTCCTCCAGCCTTCTCACTCCCAAGCTGTCCTGCAGCTCCCTCTGGCGAACCTGTAGAGAAGTACTTTGAAATCAGACGGTTTGATAACACGACGCCAAATATCACGTAAGAATAAATTATAATAAACCTAGAAAAAAACGACAAGAATAACATAGTTCATAATATACTGCATGTATTAATCTCGGCAAGTGTTGTTCAAGTATTTCAGTACACGTCAGATGTACGTGGACGCCCAGCAGCAATACCAGATGTCACTCAACAGACTCTTAGAGGACAGATCTGCTCACCCCCCTCATACCTGGCCACATCTGAACCATTGACCACAATATATACATGGCTCCTGTTTTCATGCGTAACAATTAAGCTGCGATCTGTCTGACGCAAGACATGACGGCATTCTCTTCATCTGGATATTGTTGCTAGCATCCGTAAGGTCGCATGTTCTATGCGTATTTTCGCTGCGTTCTTAATCGGTCCCGAACATTGCACACTTTGTTGCCATAGCTTAGCATTGTCTTTAAGAAATGGTCAACATGAAGACAACGATTTGCAACAGCTGCCCATTGCGATACACCACTGAAACCCTGGTAAGCCAGCCGCGGCTTACGAGGCCATCAGGAGTGGCGCGTGCCCACCTATGAGTGTGGGCATGTGCGCGTGCGTACCTGCTGGTGAAGGAGAGCTCGTGTAGCGCGATGTCGTGCCATACCGCTGCTGCGTGGCGGCGGTGTCGCAGCGGGCCTGCTCCAGCTGAGCTTTCATGTCCGCCACCTGCTCCCTACTCTCTGTCAAGCCTCGACCTTCCTGCCGCTGCTCAGGTACGCTGCAAACACACAGCAGGCTGCCTGGCATCTATGCATACATGGTACCGTGCACACACACATGCATACATGAGGTACACAGTCGCATCCACACAGTACACACGTATGTGCAGCGCACACTATACCACGCGGGCTATGCACGCATCTACGACACATGCATACATTAGCTGGGACGAGGGATTGAAGAGTGTGACAGGAAATTAACGGGAGGCACCCGCGAATGGGACGGTAGCGGGGGGGCCGCTGAGTGTGATCGCGGGAGGAAGAGTATCGAGATAGCGAGCGACCTCGAGCGCCCGCGCGCGACGGAACATCGGGCATACATAGTACAGCCGGGAGCAGGGCCGACACCGGCCCGGCGTACACCCAGCCACCAAAGACCATGCGCGACAGAAGGTATTGCATACGGGATAACTGGTACATAAGTTGCTGTAAGAACCCCAGGCATTGGGCAGGTGTCGCAGCGTCGCTTTGGTGGGTGGGCTCGGATCGCGCAGCCCCGGTTGTTTGCGTGGGCCGTATCGGAAGCGCGCCATCGGCCGTTGTTGAAGGAATCAGGCATTAACATAATGTAATGGTGAATGTTAGGGAAGCGCTGAGACAGGGCTCTTTCTTCTCCGGTCTTGTGTAGACGCTTATCCAGATTCCCGTGTGTCAGATGGGTTTGGAGTTATTGCTCGGGTGTTCTTCCACTTGGGTCACATACCAGTTTATCATTACAATATACTTAATAAACATTTAGAGCGCTAAATTCTGTGGATTTATATCTGTCAGCGGTGCATGGTGGGTAGGTAGTCAGAATAGCCGGTCGGGCTGCCCGGTGAAGCCGGCATAAAATGAGATTGTTTTGATCATAAACTTTCCACTCTGACGTAACGTGAAAGCTAACACTGTTAATCACACACACTCAAAACGTGACACTTGCTGCTTTTTATCTCGATTGAATTTTTGGCACTCCTATAATTAGTGCATTCATAATCAGTTTCGACTGTGTGCATGCGAAGGTTCCTCCAACTTTTTCATTATGAACGCATGGCGGGGCTGCCTTTACGGTCCTAGGTTTAGCATTGGTGTTTATAGCAAAAATTGGTAGCATGGCGGGCTAATGGATGCGATTTGTAGAGTGGCGGTGCTATTTAGGCGGAATGACGGGGCTCGACGATGCGCTGGCGAGCCGCAAGGCTATGAAGTGGTCTTGGAGGCACCCTGATTGCTGGAGGGGTATTACGCGGGTGGTATCGCCGTTGCAGTAACATCGCTTCACCGAAACTGCAAGTTTTGTTCTCTCCATTGCAACGATTTCGCTGGTTGGCGTTGCTCTAAGCTTCTCCTCGCCTTCGACTGCTCCTTCTTTGCTGGCGCTCAATTCCGCGTGCCACTTGACGCTAATGCACGACGAGAACACAACGTGATTTCATACACGTACTTATTCCATAGTTGATAGAGACTGGATCTGTCAGGCATCTTAGCCAACGCATTCACCGACATATTCCATAGTTAATATTAAACCTGGATCTGTGGGGTATATTAGCCAATAACAGCTGACGCGGCATGCAGCTTGCGTCGGGCGTTGCATATCTCAATCGTACAGTCAGAAAGAAATGCGAAGACACTTATACCTAGCCCTCCTACACATAGTTAGCTTACTAATACTATATGTGATACTATACTAATAGTATATCTATATATATATACTGTAGTATATATATATACTACATCAGCGAGGGGGAGAGGAGGTCAGCGAGGGAGAGGAGGTCAGCGAGGGGGAGAGGAGGTCAGCGAGGGGGAGAGGAGGTCAGCGAGGGGGAGAGGTCAGCGAGGGGGAGAGGAGGAGGTGAGAAGAGGAGGTCAGTGAGGGGGAGAGGAGGTCAGCGAGGAGAAGAGGAGGAGGTCAGCGAGGGGTAGGGGACGGGGTCAGAGAGATGGGGGCTGCATTACGTTGTGGTGACGTCCCCCGAATATGGTCGAATGCAATGTGGTCGACAACCCACGAATATGGTCGAATGCAATGTGGTCGACAACCCACGAATAGCATCGAGCGGGTCTTCACTCGCCGCGCGCTCAAACACGTAACGAGGACCGACGAAATTTCATGACTTCTGTGCTTAAAGATTAAGGTAAGTGATTACGGTTATGTGGTTAAGGTACATGACGCAGGCTGTACACGACCGCACATACTGCGATACGTTCGAAGGACGATAATACAAAATTAATCGGTGCCGTCGCGTCGACGTACGACGGCTTCACACCGTACCCGCGCCAACGATCCGTGTGCTCATCGTTGCGATCTTGCTCTCGAGTCGTCTGACGTCGTCGTGGCAACGGTCCATGAGGATGACGTCTGCTTGCACGCTCTCGGCGAGCGACTTGTCCATCTGGATCTGGTTGAGGCCCTCCTCCTCCTGATCGATCTGCTCGTGAAGCCGCTTCTGATCGTCCGACATCTCTCTCATCGTCTGCCGCAGCGCGGGAACCTCCTTCTGAGACAGCGTCGCCATCTGCAGGCGAAAATCGCAAGCGATTGTGACAAATTACGCGAGGCCATGGGAGTCGACGAGGCCGGCGCTCGGTCAAGGCCAAGGAGTAAATGTTGGTTATGGAAGCGAGTGTCTTGATCGAAAAGCTTAACTATACTAAGGTTATGAATCGATAAAGTGAAACTCAATAACATTAGCCATGATGCGCGACCAGCAATCTTAATCGAACTATCCGCCAAGTGATTGACGACAGTTAGCTCTAGCAAATCAGCATCGCTGTAGGGTCACCATCACCGCCCCTGCCTACCTCCATCCTTAGTTTCTCCCGTTTCTGCTGCAGCCTCCGGATGAGACCAGCAGAGAAGCTCTGTCGGTCGAGCTCCCCTATCTGCTTCTCCAGCTTCCTCCGTGCGTCCACCTTCTCCTTCTCCTCCTCCTCCAGCCTTCTCACCTCCAAGCTGTCTTGCAGCTCCCTCTGGCGAACCTGTAGAGAAGTAACTTGAAATCAGATGGTTTGATAACACGACGCCAAATATCACGTAAGAATAAATTATAATAAACCTAGAAAAAAACGACAAGAATAAACCTAGTTAATAATATACTGCATGTATAATCTCGGCAAGTGTTGTTCAAGTATTTCAGTACACATTCAGATGTACGTGCGATGCCAGCACAATACCAGATGTCACTCAACAGACTCTCAGAGACAGACTGCTTCATACTGACCCACATCTGACCATTGACCACATATATACATGGCTCCTGTTTTTCATGCGGTAACAATTAAGCGATCTGTCTGAGCAAGACGACCATTCTCCATCTGGATATTGTTGCTAGATCGATAAGGCTCACATGTTCTACGTATTTTTCGCGCGTTCTAATCGTCGACATTGCGACACTTTGTTGCCAAGCTTAGCATTGTCTTTTAGAATGTCACATAACGACAACGATTGGCAACAGCTGCAAATTGCGATAACCACCGAACCTGGTAAGCAGCGGCTTACGAGGCATCGGTGGTGCCACCTATGATGTGGGCGTGCGCGCGCGCGTACCTGCTGTGAGGATAGCTCTGTGCGCATGTCGTCCATACGCTGCTGCGTGGCGGCGGTGTCGGCAGCGGCATGCTCCAGCTGAGCTTCAATGTCCGCCACCTGCTCCCTACTCTCTTCCAGCCTCCCGTTCCTGCCGCTGCTCAGGTACCTGCAAACACACACATGCATACATAGGTACCTGCACACACACATGCATACATAGGTACACACGCGCATCCACACGTACACACGTACGCACGCACACACATGCATACATAGGTACACACGCGCATCCACACGTACACACGTACGCACGCACACACATGCATACATAGGTACACACGCGCATCCACACGTACACACGTACGCACGCACACACATGCGTACATAGGTACACACGCGCATCCACACGTACACACGTACGCACGCACACACATGCATACATAGGTA